GACTCTCTTTGTGGCTCAAGGTCGATTACTTCACTTACTCATAATTGAATCCCTCATAATTGATTGGTGTCTGACTTGTTACAAAAGACTCTTGCTTGAGTCTTTTCCCAAAGTGCAAACATTCACATTGCAGTGGCCAGCAGTAATTGCACATGGAGGTTCCCAATGACCATCATTTATTTCTACCTTGCTCTGGGACTGGAAGAGGATTGTAACTCCATGTATGGATTTCCTGGAAAAATATGAACCCTCCTCCATGGGTAATGGCCTCAAGACTTTTTTGTCAAAACAGGAGGCATAGTCTACACCATCATGTTGCCTGGCTCTGGGCATAGATCAGGGTGTTTATCAGCATGCAGCTTGGAGTGATGGCTGAAATATTTTCAACCAACACCTGAATTGCCTTAGGAGGTAAAAAAATCTTGAAGTAAGAGAAAGGTGTTTACATATATTAAACATTTTCAGACATTTTGACATCAAAGAAAGATATGCCCTCTTCTTTCTTTTCATCCTCCCCTTTGCCTGTTTTCAGGATCTGTTAATAAATTCCTTTATTTAAAAAATAAAGGGAACTTTGAATGATCTGGTACTTATCAAAATAATCTGCAAATATTCGGCTTTATTTTCAGAGCTTTTTGCAGTTTCTTCCTTTCTTCCATTCTTCCTTTCTTCCTTCCTTTCTTCCTTCCTTTCTTTCTTCCTTTCTTTCCTTTCTTTCTTTTTCTTTCTTTTCTTTCTCTCTCTCTCTCTCTCTTCTTTCTCCCTCCCTCCCCCAACCCTCAGTAGACCTTAATCTTTTTTTTTGTCTTGGCATTCTTGAGCCCCAGTTTCAAGGGGGTGGAACAGCCCTGTGGCTGTGGTTAAGGATAGGTTTCCTGAGAACTTTTCCCATTGAATTTTCAGAATAGGTTGCTAAAGTTTTCATATGTGATCTTTAGCTGAAGATTTGCAGTGGGTGTAAATTGGCATTTGGTCTCTGGTTGTCAGTAAATCTGCACTGCAGGAGGGTCTGCCTCTCCATTTCTTTGTGGGTTTTTTTTTGTTAATTAGCAATTTGAATCAATAGTAAAAAATATTGAAAGCCTGTAAAAACACATATCAAGCCATGTCCCACAGGAGACAATTCTAGGTCTAAAATTACCTGATATTTTTATTTATTTTATTGCACAGTAGAATAGAGAGTTTGCTTATTAAAATTATAGACTGTAATTGCTGCTTTAACAACAATAATGTATGCTCAGCCTACTAGATAACTGTCTAAATTTTCAAGGTAAAGTTTTATATGAAAGCTGGAGATTGTGGGCAAGTGGGAAACCACCTGAAAATAACTTCACAACAAGGGGAGCACCACCTCTACATGTAGGTCATCTTTACATTCATTATTTCAACTAAGGGGAGAAATTATCTCCCCTTATATCTGAGAAATGTCTATTCTTATGTTATTTGCTTTAAAGCTTCTCTCTCTGCTCATGCATCTAGAAAATCCCAGCTCTTGTCTCATTTCTGGTATCTCTCACTTATATTTTTTCCTGCCATTCAATTTTCTATTAATCTGAGTCAATTTAGCAGATGAGAAAATGAGGACCAGATAGAACATAATTTGATTACTCATTTTCTCTTAAACATTTACCCTTATTACTGAAAACTAATTCTCATTCAACACTACCGTTTTTAGCCTGCAAAAGCCTAAACAGAGTCTGAGGTTATAAGAGTAGTTCAGATGGGATTGTGCCTTGCTGTAGCCAGTGATGAGGAACAGATGATTTTAGGGAGAGGTTCATGTGAAGATATCTGCTCCTCTCTATTGTTGTCATGTTGTCTCTCAGCAGCTGTGAAGGGAGCCCACTGCAGTTATTTCAGATGGAGACATCTGCACTGATGTCTGTGTTCCTTCAGGATCTCACCTCTTCTTTCTAAATAATGCAACCCTTTGCTTATTCATATTTGCATGGAATAGAATAGATTCTTTATTGCCCTTTTAAGTTTTTTTTGTCACTTTTTTTGGCACTGTGATTTCTGGGTTTGCTGATGTACCATTCCATGAGTTTTTTGCAGGATGCAGTTAGCTGTGGAGTGTCTTATCTACATCCCAAGCTGCAGGTGAGGAAGGTTTGGCAGAGCCAGGCTGTGTGACTAACAATGGATTTATACCAAATTGTGATGGTCAGTTTTGGCATCAGAGCTGCTGAGGAACATGGCTACTGAGAGCTGATGGGTGGCAACCAGTGCCTTGATAACAGTGTGGGAGGAGTGTAGAACGGCCTAGAACACACAGAAGCACACAGTCATTCAATCAAAACCATCACCGTATATTTATCGACTTCTCTTTTAGGGAATACTGTTTACTTCCCCTCCTATTTGGAGTTCCTGGGCACCTGCTGCCTTCAACGCTTCCTACAGATCACTCAGAAGAGTCCAGCATCTCAAATGACCTCCATCCTTTGTGCAGCAGCAGGTTTACAAGAATATGAGAAACTGAGAATATGAGAAAGACAACACAACACTGCCAAATGAAGTTTGTATTGCTAAGTGTGTGGTATTTTCAGTTGTAAAAATCAGAAATTAATGAATTTTCAAGAGCAGCTAATACATCATTTTTTCTATAACATCATAAAATAAGCAAATTTTGCATGGTAAATATTTCTGCATGTTATAGACAATTTTTTTTCCATGTTCCATATAGATTTTAAATATGTCATAACATCACAATAATAATTTTATAAAATCAATGTACTGATTAGTATTATGTTAATCTGTTTATGAAAAAAAAGAGAAGTTTTTATAAAAGCTGAAAAGTAGTGACAAAATTTTTATGCTTCTCTGCCTGCAAAAATAATTGTATTAAGCTGGATGAATAACGTAAGGATGAAATACTCTGTATCATCATCATTTTGCTGCAGTCATGTTTCATTAATCAAATTCATCAGTTTTCCAATTTTCTTTAAAAGTGTTCTGACATTTTCAAGGAAATTAAAATACAGGAGAGGGAGCAAGAAAGAGGGGTGGGTATGTCAGTAAGAGATCTGGATCTCAATATTGTAGACTTTTTTTGATTTTGCTAGTCTGTGTAAGCTGATCTTTGGAAACTGGTTGAGGCATCCAAGCAAAATTGGCACTGTTAAGTGGTAGCAAAATCAGTGTGTGCTCTGCACGTGCTAAGTGCTATTTAAGCCATGTACTGTGAAATCAAGTCCAAGGCATCTCACATTTGGCAGCCCAGCTGCTAACCAAACATGGGTTTTTCCCATATATGGGAAAATGATCCTTCCCAGGTCCTGGACTAATAGTTCTCTAATAGTTCTCCTCTTGGGCTTGAGCTTTCTCCTGGACCTGTGAGTTCTGCACGGGAGTCATTTCTCATGGCCAAATCCCTGAAGGTGGCCTCACCTCCTGCCTCGTCCTGCTCCCCTGCACACTGTGCCCCAGGATCCTCCTCTGGCAATGGGAAAAGGCAGGAATCTTATGATTTGAGCAGAGTCTGAGGGGGAAGAATGGGTCCTGCCGGGTTGTGGACCTGCAGCACTGCTGCTAGAGGTGAAGTGATCAAGGATGATGGTTTAGGGCCAGCAAAAGGGAAATGAGAGGAAATCCTTCTCCTTTTTTAGCCTTAACCAGGTCCCAGGCATTTCCTTCTGACTCCTTCTGCTCCTTTCCATCCATTTGCTGCCAAGAGCAAGTCTGAGTGTCATTGGCTGCCACTGTGTGACCTTGCCTGAACAAACACACCTGGTTTGCCAGATGTGATTGCACAGTTCTTGTGGGAGAAAACACATCTCCTCTGGATTTTGACATCCCTTTGGAGAAGTAAAACAAAAGTCCTGATTTAAAAAGGAAAACAGGTTGTGCTTTCATCACGTGCTGTGCTCTTTTAGTGCCTTTCACTAAAAGGATCATCCAACTTCCCATCATCTTAATTTGCATATATTGCCACCTGTACAGACCACTGACAAGTGTAAGGGGAATGCAGAGTCAAGAACAGGAAAAGCAACACCACCATTTAGTGGGACGGGAACAGATGGAGCAGAATGAGAATTGGAAGAGAAACCTAGAAGAGGGAAATTCTTTGTCTTCTGTTAGTTCAAGGTATGGCACCTCATCTTGCTTTAACATCCTGACGATCAAGATACTTCTCTGAAATGTATTCTCTCTTCTTTGCCTATTGAACTGAGAGAAAGCTTCTGCCAGATGCTGCAAGACCAACTAAGGGTTTTCTGAAGAATTGGTTAACTCTGTGTTAAGGGAATCTCAGCTCCAGGGTTTCGAATTCACCTCTCTCTGCATCGTGACATTCTCAAAGATGGTGCCCTCAGGATCAGCGTCACCTTTCTACTTTCCCCCAGTGGCACTTAGCCCTGAGAATCACTGTGTTCATCCCAGCATATCTGACTTTGGTTAAGATTGTTGCAAAAGCAAAGCAAACAGTTTTTTATTGAGATTAAAAAGGCTGTTGAAAAGAAGGATATTCAAATAATAAATTACCTAATTTTTTGAGATTCCCAGGGATCCTATTCGTCAGAATGTATTGGGAGACACAGGGCTTGAGTTTACTTACTTTTTGTTCCAAACCACCTCCCTTACATTTCTTCATCTAGTCTGACCTTCCTTGCCAAACAGCAAGAGGTAAAATGGTTATGGCAGTTCCTCTCGGAAGGCAAACATTCCCATGGCCAAATATCTGCATAGCCAGAAGCAGAAATCGATATTGAGCTTCTACCAGGAGCACAGCAAAGAGCACGTAGGTGTTCCCATAGCCCTTCAGTGCTGGTGGATACACCTATGGCCACAGTATCTGCTGTGTGTCAGCTGCCAAACTCACAGAGGATCGATCTCCTCATGGGCACTGCAAGCAGGGCACCAAGTGTGTGTCACTGCCTGGGTGGAAACTATTGTTCCAGTGGTGTTTGTCAACGGGCTGGTAGGGAAAGGCAAGCAGCCTTGCAAGGGTATAAATTCCCCAGTCCATCCACCAGCTCTCCTTCAGCAGCTGCAGAGCATGAGGGATGGAGTTCCTCCTGCCAGCCACACTCATCCTGCTCCTCCTCTGCCCCCCGGGCACAGGGGTGCATGATTACACCTCTGTCCTCTCTGTGCTCCATGGAGGCCACTGGGGTAAGTGGGGCAGACGGCAGTTTTGCCATCATGGCTATGCCAATGGATTCACGCTGAAGGTAAAATTCTCTCCATTTCCTACCATTGCCTGTCCCTAAGGATTTTCTGCAGATTTTTCCTCTTCTTGAATATGAGACTCTGTATATAAAGCTATGAGTCTTCTGGCAAGTGTTGCCACTGTAGCTACACCAGAAAAGTCCGCATGTGGCTGATGTTGCTAGGAGAAGTCATGTGGGTGTGAAAATCTGGATTCTGGGAGAGAGGCATCCACCACCAGTGTCTCTCCTGAGACTCTAAGACTCTGCCTTACCTGTTGGGTCAGAAATAGTTCAGAAACACAAAGAACATGTTACAAGGGTTAGGTGGTTTCCCAGTGACCGCCATCTTTTCCAATGTGCTTTCAAGACATTTTCTCTTTCCTATTACAGAAAGGAGGTGGGGCCTTTTATGACAGGCATGTAAATGACTTCTCCTGGGTCTTTTTCCCCTTGCTTTTGCCTCTGTCCCTGTGTGGCTTCCATTGCAGGTGGAGCCTGACCAGTTTGGAAGTGATGACACGGCTCTGAATGGCATACGCTTGCACTGTCAGAATGACTCAATAACCATCGAGTCCTTGGTGGGAGAGTAAGTAACACTGTGGTTTCTCTCCTGTTTGTCATGCACCAGCTCACAAAACCTTCATGGGTGTCACTATTTGCAGGGTCTCTTCTCTCTGACTTGGTGCTGTAGTATAGTGAATTAAACAAGTGGTTAGGGGCTGTTTCTCATTAATTTTGAGGGTTATTAAACAGCGTTACCTCACTTTACTACTTTTTGTTTGCCCTTGGATTTCCTGCAGAGCACTGTGAATGCCTGACTTATGGTCCCAGGGTTAGAGTATTTCTTTGGAAGGGTTTCTAACCATGCATTTAGAAACTTCCAGGTCCAAGCCCTGGCCGTGCTGCAGGGAACAGCACTGCACCTCTGGCTGCTCTCCCGGCTGCCTGCTGTGTACCTGTCACACGTGTCAGGGGTGCATCATAAAACATGTGCTCAGGCTGCCCTCGGAGTTTCCACCAGAACCATAACTATCCAATCTCAGGCTTCCTGGTGTTTTTCTGATGAGATATCAATGAAGAGAAAAGTACATCTTTGGAAGGCAAGGAAAACAAAAGGAGAAAGTAAGGGGCCCCCGACTGCAGCAGGATGCTGTGTCAGAGAAGTGTTAATCAGAGCAGCATGACAAGGAGAAGGAGCATTTCCCAGCAGCTCACAAATTTTTCCATTTGCTTTTTGTCAGGTGGGGTTCCTGGACCAGCTTCCAAGTTTGCCCTGGAGGCTACCTGATCTCCTTTTCACTGAGAAGTCCCAAAGAGCAGGTGACAGGTGGTGACACAGCAGCCAACAACATCCAGTTCAGATGCTCAGACTGTGCTGGTAGGTGATGGACTGTCGTGGGGCAGCTTTGGCCCGTGGACCAACAGCTGCAAGATATGTGGTCTCCAGACCAAGGTAGAGCCCCCACAGGGACTCCAGGGTGACACAGCACTCGACGATGTGAAGTTCTTCTGATGCAAATGAGCACTTGCTCCACCTTCATCACTACCTACACATCCCATATCCCACAGCAAATGAAGTATCAGTAAAGCTTTGCTCTAGCTTTATCCTGGGACATGCCCATGATGGTTTGACTGCTTGCATCTTGCTGTTTTGGCCAATGACTTGGACGATGATGCCTCTTACAGCTTCTGCTACGTTAGCATAGCCAAATCATTGCATCCTGTACTGCTGGTATGTTGCTGTGAAAATGCTCAATCTAGCAATTGCTCAGAGCTGAGAGACTTCTCAACTTTCTTTTTCTCTGACTGGCCAGTTTGTTTGAGGTTTGGTCTGCCCATTTTCCCCTTATTTGAAGTAATACTTGATCTGTCGATATGACAAACATATCTCGATATGACAAACAGGGCAGAATGGGTATTTCAGTCTATTTGAAGCTTCTGACCAAAGCCAAAATGACTAATGAGAGATGAGCAGGGTGAAAGAGGAGTTTGGGTGGGCTCATGAGAAGCATCAAAGGTTTGTTGTCATTGCCCACCCCTAGCTTAAATTGCCTCAAGATTTGTACATGCTTTTCGCAAGCAATCTGTTAGCTCCTGCCTGAGCTCCTGCCTTAGGAAACATGGCTAGAAAGTGTGTTTACACTGTGCATTCATCTGCGTGGCACTGAACAGCCTGGGTGGGTCGCAGCTCCCCAGGCCTCCCTAGCTGCTGCTTTGCAGTGTGCTCTGCCAGCTCACCTGGCTGCTAGTGCAAAACATTTTCATGGGACTTGGATGTTGTTTGTTGCCTCTGGGCTTCATGCTTTAAATAGCATGGGGGAGAATCCAAACTAAAAATAAACTCTGTCAGTCATCCATTTTTTATGCTCCAATTTGCTGGGTAAACTGGAAGTTATTACGTTGTCCTGATATGCTAGATGTAAAGATTGGCATTTTTTATGCTCCAATTTGCTGGGTAAACTGGAAGTTATTACGTCCTGATATGCTAGATGTAAAGATTGTACTCTCAGTTCAGGGTAAAATAATGTTTGGAGATCATTACCATGCTCAATCAAGCCACCAAACCTCTCTGGCAAGAATTTGAGAAGACTTGATGCCTCTCTGGGCACCTTTTAGGAAATGTAGTTGTCACTTTTTCCTCAAAGCAATGATTATGCATCTTTTTGTGCTTGAAAAAGGTAGGGCTATGATGTTGGCATTCCCCAGATGACTGCTGGGGTTGGGTGTGGGGATGTTGTGTCCGGGACCACAGCCACGTGGAGCAGCTCAGAGCTGGTGGTGGAGGCTCTTTCTGCCAGTTCACATCCTCTCCTTAGCACACACATAGTAGCCATCACCACTCTGGCTTTTCAGGCATACAAATTTTTCGTACGGTTGTTTACCTCAAAAAGTACTTGAGTAATAACTGTATTTCCTGCCACTGAAGCACTTCAGCAAAGCTTCCATAGTGCAAGAAGAATCTCAGAAAAATTCCTGCATTTGAATGATGTTAGTTTAAAAAAAAATTAATATGAAATTTTCTAATCAGACCTTCTTCTGCAACTTTTCATAGTTCTGATTTGTTTAATTTCAGGATTTGACTTATTTCTTAACATTTGGTATTTCTAAATGATCCTTTAACTGCTTTCTGTCTTCCTCTTGATTGCAGATATTTTAAGTGTGCAAATGCTTTATTAAAGAAATGCTTATTTTGTAAAACCAGCCCAGTCATCACTTGAAATGCTGATTATTAGCTTCAAGGAACTGTTTTGTAGCTTCCATCTCAATTTAGGAGTTTTTGAAAAAATCCTTATTTATCATATATTCAGCTCTCTCTAAACATATAAATTCTTCAGCTCTAGTAATTAGCCAAAAAAAAGCAAAAAAACCCCTCCCCCCGCCAAAAAAACCCCAATGAAAACAAACAACCCCAAAATCACAACCTTTTTTTAACAAGGGGAACCAAACTAAACTAAAACTAAATTCTGATGCTGTCACAGTTAACTGGAGTTAGCAGTGTCCACACCATATCTTAACTTCCAAAATTACTATTCTCAAGCCCCACAAGAGGACATATTTTAGTTTGCATCTGGTTGTTTGGCTTTCATTTTCCTGTGAAACAGGAATAATTTCAGCTTGCAAGCTGACATCCAGTATAATTAGTGAGGCAATATTTGAGGACATAAAAGTAAAAATAGCTGCACTGATCTAGGCAAAACAGGCTTAATTTGATGAAAGTGAGCAGGAATCGTGGTGACATGATTATCTGCATCATCTTCCAAAGCCTGGGGAATCCCCTTGCTGAGGCAGAGGCAGCTCCATGCACTTCACAGAAGTCTTAGAGGGCCAACTGCTGGTCACCTTCCACCAGAGCACATTGGACAAGCAAAAACCATCAAGTATTAATACCATGACACTGTGTGATCAGTGCCACCAGCAAATCTCATAACAGGACATTGCAAGTTCTTTTGTTTTAGCATGTGAGTAAGTTGTGTTTTTTTGAAATATATACTGAGTTAACCTAAATTGTGTGTGCAGCCAGTTATGGGAGGAAAAAAGGTCAGGTAGTTCATCATCTCCATGTAGAGGAGGTTTCTAAGAGAGTTAATTTTGGAATGACCAATGCCACTTGAAAGTGCTTGAAAGAAGGAATGGCATTTCTTTTGAGTGACTTGTTCAAGAAGCAGTATCTGTTTTCTTATATATGTGTATGCACATGTAAATGTAGATGATGGAAAACTGAAGCTTCATGTTGTGCATTTCTTCTCCAGAGGGTAATTCAGGCTGGAAGACTCTGATCATCTGCTCTTTCTTTGCAAATGAATGATTCAGTTAAATTTTGAGGTTTCACTGTGGGAAGAATTATTCACAGTGCCAGCAAAACTGACCTTCTGTGCTCTCTGTTATGCCAGGTGTAACACAGCTTCCTAATAGAGTGTGAATAGACACTCCAAATGAGACCTGTTCCAAGAAATGTTTGGAAAACAGAATACCATATCCTCCTCCCACACTTTCTCACGTACTTACCAGCAACTTGAAAATTGAATGGCTGTTTTTTTATCATCTGAATATTGATGGACCAGCTGAGTGTCCTCTGATGGTCCACTTGCAAAACATGGGTCATACACAAACCAGAAAGTAGGTCTCAGGCATTTACTTCACTCAAAGTGGAGAAATCACTCTTATACCAGAAATAAAGTTATAAAACCATCATCTAAGTGTGCTGGAGCTGGTGTGGCTGAAAGTGTGCATAGCTGGAATCTGTGAGTGGCTACATCTGCATGACTCAAAAAAGTGACTGTGTGTCTCTGGCACATCTACAAGTCAGGAATATGCTGCTAAAGAGCTAGCACATAGTCCCTGTGGAATGTTGGTGGGACTAGTGAAACACCAAGGACCAAGCAAGAATTATCCCTGAATCTGCTGATGACGTGGCAATTTTGGATCTGGAGCATGAGTAGGCTTGGGGAAGGCAAGGAGGAGCTTTCCACTGATCCATGCATACGTGGTACAGCTCCCAGGGAGACTGGCAGAAGCAGCAGGCCTGGAGCTTTCCCCAAGTGATTTTTAAAAGCCAATTCTATTGTAGAATAAGACTGAATCAGACCAAAACCAGCCCTGATGTTAGCAGTGCTCCAGTGAGCCAAGCTTTGAGTCTGCCTCTGGGAAAGGCGACCATAGAAATCCTAGCCTTCATGGCCATGTTGTTCCTGTTGCACAAGGAAAACAGATATTCCATCCATCAAAAGTGCTTTGAAGCTTAAGTTGTTAGTTTTTGTGAGATGCAGGGGAAACACCTGAAGATGCTTTAGCTACATTTCATTGATAATACTGTACATGATGAGTGCACCATGCAGCTCATGCTCAACCTGTCATAGTTAGCAAGTTTTCCAACCCCATAAAACCAATCCTAATTAACTAGTGTGATTGCCAATGAAGAAACAACTAAAACCATCTGGTTTTGAATTTTCTGAGTATCATTATTTGGAAATGTTGTTACAGAATGTGAGGAGCAAAGAACATTAACCTATGGATCATGAAAAGAAAAATATCAGGGCTCTGGAGAGGTGATTCATGAAGGATTGAATTCTGGCTTCTATGCTCCCCCACAACACTGTGGGCATGACTTTGTCCTGCAGGACTGAATACCTATGGTATTGAGCTTGAACACTTACTTTTTGTCTGAGGAGTTGTTGCATGGTTTGTACCTGCCTCCTCTGTCTTCATCTCTGCAGAAAGGGAGCCTTCCCAAGGCAGTACAGGCTCCAGCAAGTAATGTTGGAAGTTGCTGTCCTGGCAGGAAGAAGGAGTAGCTGGCTCAGTGAAAGCTGGGGGAAATGCATGAGCTGTATGGCAATGCATAAACACGATTAGCAGCACGGCAGCAACACCAGATGTATAGAATACATATTGCTCCTGGGCAGGTAATGTAGAATATTTCTTAGAGACTTTTGCATTTGGTGTGTGTTTCCTGAGCTTTCCATGTTCTACTGGAGCAAAACTTGGTAGACATCAGTCACCTCATAACCCCATTCTACACAGACTGACTCTGTCCTGCTTGCTAAGGCTTGGTGGCTTTGGCAGCAGGCCACCTAGCTGGGTGACATTTGGCTCCGCTAGCACCTGGGCCTCTCCAACAGAGAGGCTATTTTTAAATCTCCAGCAGAGATTTCCTTTTGATCACTCAAAACCAGTTCAACAGTAGCAATGGGGTAGTGGTAGTTTGGTGCATTTCTTAATGAACACAAATGAGCAAAATGGACACCAATGACCTCTTTAGTGCTGTGTAGAAAAGGGAAAAAGGGAAAAAGTGACAGTGCCACAGGAATAAGTGCAGGAGTTTATTAATTCAGTTTGTGAAAAATAACTTTCAAAGGGAACAGGACAGCATGAGAAGTCAGGTTACTGTGTGAGTCATTTCAGGATCAGGTCCTGAACAGGCCCCAGACATCCCCTTTGTGTTTCTGCTGTTCTCTTTCTCAGGGGGAGCTGCTGCCCATTAATGACTTGGAAGTCCATGGACAAAACTGTGCATAACTGGCT